GCCCCAACGGTTACACCGTAAAACATATTAATCTGTAATCTGTATATCACAGGTATTTGTCAAAATACATTATTGCGATGCCCTCCGGATCAATGACGCAACGTTAAGTACAGATTGTTTGCATTTTTTAGTCACTTCCCGTTCACTTCCTGTTTGTGTGGGGAAAAGAACAAGGTGAGCTTCAACAAGTAACGACGTCGGCGTTTAATTATAACTATGCGGTTGTAAGAAGAATTCCGAACAGTTTTAAATACAGTGGTCAACAGTACTCAAATAAATATGAAAAAGAGAATGAGATTGACGTAGAAAAGGCGAGAGAAGAGCATCGACAACTGATCGAGACGCTTAAAAAATGCGAGGTACGAGTTATCGAACTTCAAGAGGAAGAGGACTACCCCGAGTGCTGTTTTGTGGACGATTCCGCTGTCGTAATCGGTGCTACAGCCCTTATCACTAGGCTAGGACAAACTACACGTCAGGGAGAGGTAAGTCACTTCATAGAATCTGAATTTAAAAGAGGTGGAAAAAGGGGTGGGGGTGACGCGTGTGACACGATCATACTTTTCGATGACTCATGAAGAATGACTATAGTTTGATCAGTGTAAGCGAGTTGCTGCTTAACAAATTTATGATGAATTACTGAAAACAAAACTATTTCAATGTTTAGGTTTGATTTACAAAATATTTGGTGAATATTGATCTAATGAATGTCAAGAGTTCATATTTCCAAAAGTATTGGTCATAGGCCTACAACAAGCCTTGTTTACATTGTCGTAGTGTGGTAGTGTAAGATACACAGCATCCTACTAGCTTGGACTAGCGGGTTAACCCTTTAGCTCAATCGGTTGAACATTGGTCATTGGACAAATGCCAGAGGTCCAGGGTTCAATCCCAAGTGGAGGCACTACATCAGGTCCAGCACAATACCCTGATAAATGTATATAGCTTGATAAAGCTATATAGCTTTATCAAGGTATTACAAATACTTTGATCAAGGTATTTTATGTAATGAAAATACAAAAAAAATTCTAAAAAAAATAAATACTGAAAGTCGAGTTCTGAGTTGTTGTCAGTAAATTCACTCATGCATGTAAAGTACTCAAACACAAAGAAATCGGTAAAAAAGCATGTCGTGTGAGGAGACGTTCTTTTATGCTGTCCTTTTTGATACCTGAGTACTTTTCATGCACGAGTGAATACACTGACCACAACTCATAATTCGACTTTTAAATTTAATTTTTTAAGATTTTTTTTTGTAATTTCATTACATAAATACCTTGATCAAGGTATGTGTAATACCTTGATAATATTTATCAAGCTATATACCTTTATCAGGGTATTGTGCTGGACCTGTACATGTCTCTGTTACATTTGATGCCCACGTTGGGACCGGGGTATTCTCTGGCGGATGAGAGTGATTGCCCTCAGATCTTCACCCCACAGGCATCGGCACTCCAAAAGAGATGAGGACATCTCATTCTATGGAGAGGGACAATGTGGTAGTGTAAGATACATAGTATCCTACTAGCTTGGACTAGTGGATTAACCCTTTAGCTCAATCGGTAGAGCACTGGACTAATGCCAGAGGTCCCGGGTTCTATCCCAAGCGGAGGCACTTACATGTCTCTGTTACAGTAGTGTATTATGAATCAATGTGCCTCATATCTTCTTAATCTTTGTTCCCTCTGATGTGATCAGAAATATTCTTGTTTATTTAATTTCAGGTTGCAGAGATTCGTAAAGTACTGAAAGATCTGAAATTTCGTATTGTGGAGATTGTTGACCCTGATGCCATTGTGGAAGGAGGAGATGTACTGTTCACAGGTAAGTCTGTGTTACCTTTTATTCACAGTTAAGTGTCTCCAACCATGACTAAAACACAGATCCGCAAAACTGAACTATGAACTATTCAAACTGACAGTCTTCATTTAACTTCATTTAACTTAAACTTAATGTTTTGATTTTGGTGTCTTTAATCTTTAAACCAATTTAATTCTTCAACATAAGAATTTTCCCCCCATTCTGATTTTATATGTTACAGCCTACAGGTATGTATGTTTGACAGATAATTATGCTGATTATCACAACATAATTCATGAATTTTGATTTTGTTTCAGGGAAAGAAATTTTTGTTGGCCTGGGACAGGGAAGAAGAACAAATGAGCGGGGAGCATCAGCTGTTGCGGATGCTTTCCCAGAATACAATGTAACCCCTGTCCGAATTGATGGGCAGGTCCAGCTGAAATCTCTGGTGTCCATGGCAGGGAAGGACATCATTGCCGTGGGTAACAGTCAGAATGCAAACAGAGTTATGCAGGTAAATATCGTAAATGTCCAACATGTTTCTTAATGGATTACTTATTTTTCTCTGACGCATACCATACACATTTGAATTTCATATAAATAATTAGTTGTAATATTATCAAGAAGTATGTGATACTAGTGTTGTACCGATAATCAGAAAACATCGATTGTCGACGAAAAAATGCTACCGATTCCAATGATCGATTATAATTTTTCATAATTGATCATTGGAAACATACTTCTAGTACAATACATTCCAGAATTATCCATTTCTGGTTTAAAATTTAATTCTTCTTAATGAAAGAAAATGGTGTTTGCATCTGATACTAGCCAACTAGCATGAAACAGAGGTGATTAAGAACCGAGAGGTGCACATATAGGGCCTAAAAAATTATGTTTGTTTCCTGTAACCCGACCGACCCCTTCAATTTACCCCTGGTTGGATTTTTTCTCTCCCAAATCTGTGTTTGCTCTTTGGTTTGATCAATCAGCTGATTCTTTTTATTCAAAAATATTAATTGTATCTTTTATTTGAGATATAAAATATGCAACTTAGTCAACATTTCCCTTAAATCTAAAGAATAATTAATTCCCCCCACAACTTTTTGAAGTTCGTTTTCTGCCGCTAGGCAGCCATGTTGGGTGTCCACTGTAAATATAACATCTGGATAATTGAGTCCTAGGATGATTGACCCCATTATTCATAAGCAAAAAAATCCCGACCTACCGACCCTTGATTTTTTGGGAATGTTACAGGATACAAACAAACATAATTTTTTTTAGGCCTAGAAAGTGTAGAAGAAGTAAAACAACAAAGAAAATAATATATAATATATTTTATATATTCATGTTAAAGAAATAGTATGAAATAATTGCAATAGTCTGTTTTTTGTATACAAAACTATGAAATCCGATTATAATTGGTAAAATTGTAGGAGTGAAACGGTTCACTGCGGTATCGATTCACCGCGGTAATTTTTCTCGGTTTGATACACGGTGCAAAATCTCTAATTTTCGGTTCGGTTCATTTTTCGGTCGGGATCATTATTCAGTCGGGTTTGGCATAAGGTAAAACACGTTACTTAATATAAATAAGTATAGAAAACGTAAATTTTTGATGACTGATAGCTTGTAAAATAATTTTTGACAGTCAAATAATTTTTATCAATTTCTTCTAGTCAATTTGCAATTAAAATTCGTAAAATATGTGACTAGATTTAGAAAAAGAAAGCATAAAACAATATGAATTTGTTTCCTTCTATCAAAATATATCGTATCGAAAATAACCGAACCGAGACAAAATTATACAATACGTATCAAATCGTGAAGGAGGTGTATCATTTCACCCTTGCATCGGAAGCAGTAACCGATTCCAACCGATGATCGATTATGAAAATTAACCGATGTCCCATCGCTATGTGATACAGCAAGTTAATATTTTACATTGGATTAGAATAATTTTGCACACAATCTCAGTACAGTAAAACATGCTTATAAGGAAGTGCCAGGGACGGACAATTTTGCTTCATTATAAGCGTAATACGTTATATCCTTTAAGTTTACAATATGTTTTAAACTCACAGGGAATGACAATCACTTCACTGTAAGCATCAATTCATTATAAGTGTGTTCGCTATAAGTGTGTTTTACTGTATTCCCATTTCTCACAAGGAATTAATCATAAAGTGAAATGATAGAATATAATGATATATTCAGGAAGTTTACATTTGCTATGATTTAGAATACTAAACTGTTGATTATATATTTTTGATGACATGAAAATTAAATGTTTTTTCTTCATAGCAAATCAAGCAAGTGGCACAGTACAGTTATCATATTTTGAAACTTGACAATGATAAGGCAGCTAACATGTTGTATGTAAATGGCCGACTGATACACAGAACCAGGGAAGAAATCGGGGATAGCAGTTACAGTGTAAGTACTCACAATAAAGTTAGTTAATGTAGTAACATTAAAAATAATATACAAATCTAAACACTGAGTAGAACTTATAGAGTAGGACCTTGCACTATAGCTAACGAATTAAGTCAGTAATGTTAGTTTATTTGACAAATCTATACACTGGGTAGAACTTACAGAGTAAGAACTTGCACTATAGCTAACTGATTAACTAAGCAATGTTAGAATATTTTACAACTCTATACACTTGGTAGAACTAATATATTTTTAAGTTTTCATTAATCAAATAAATTATTTTAAAGCCTTTGCATCAAAAAAAGATTTATGTTCAAGTCAGGTATTTTCCAAAACTTTGAGATGTGACAACTTTATACAGGATTTCAGTACAGAGTTATTTCTCTTGTTTTAATGTGGTATTTTTAAAAGATTAGGCAGAATACACAAAATAAAGTAAAGGAAATGTAACAGTTTGATTAAAAACATAAATTTTCACATTGAAAAAGAAACAGATTTAATGTCATATTTCTTTGCCATAATTTTTGTATTCTGAAGGAATTAATAAATAAATGTATTTATCATGGGTGCTAAGCATTATTTGTACCCGTGGGAAAGTAGGCGGGTTTGTTTTGATACGGGTGTTGGATTTATACAATGATTGGCTATTTATATAGTAACAAGTACACATGAGTAGAGATGTTATTGAAGGGCGAGTATTGTGTAAATGTGCCATTCGAAGGCTCAGATTCTAAATCATTCCACGTTTTATCCATGTTACAATGTCCGAGCACGAGGACACAGAGCTGAATCTTTTATACGAAACACCAACTCAAGGCCGCTCTCAACAAGTTTCAAGGGCTCCTGAGGTTCAGTCTACTCTTGGGAATACTAGTAATGTGAATGACTTGGCCGATGCAGTAAGTTTATTCAAAAGCGTCATTGACTCTCAATTTGGTTCTATATCTGAAAAACTTCTGACCGAGCAGAAAGTTAACGCTAAAAGTCTGTCAAAAAAGATTAAAGAAAGTAAAAGTACACGTATTCAGGGTGAAGGCAATAGAATTCAGTACACTTTTAACGAAGAAATAATTGAAGACCTAGAAAATCTGTCTATCATCCTTAAAGACAGTTCGGCTGTATCCGTCATTAAAGAGATTAAAGAAAAATTGCAGAAACGTAATAAACTCATAAGAATTGCAGATAATAGTCCAGCTGGTTGGAAGACCGTAAGAGAATATGAACAAAACGATTATGCAGACGACTCTGATGACGATAAAAAGATACGAAGTGCGGAGTCACGGGCCATGCGGCAGAAGTTCCGAGGCAGGGGACGTCCTACACCGTACAGCCGTCTGGTGTCAGCAGCGGCGGAGTCCCCGGCGCAGCTTTCCTCTGGTAGTTTTGGTGGTTATCCTCTACTCAGTCAGCCCTTTCGTGCCTTTGGGGGTTCAAGGAGAACCCCACAGCCTTCAGACTTGTGTCACAGATGTTTTAAGACCGGACACTGGAAAAGTCGCTGCCCCCTCAATTACACGCAATCCACCACAGGGTCTGCAGGAGCAAGCACATCAGGCGGTCAATGATGATAAGTATTGTTATAGTCCAAGCTGGTCTGGTATTCTCGATATTTCAAAAAGTATCAAGGAAATTTTGATTTCTTATGATAGAAAATGTAATCAAATAAAAGGTAGAGTCAAGAAAAGTTTGTTTCATAATCTTCAGTTTTGGAAAGAAATAGATGCTTATGATTCGGTTTTTTTCTATAATTCAAAATGGATATTCTCTTGATTTTGAAATTCACCCCCCTTCAAAGCATTTCGAGAATAATAAATCAGCTATGTTGAATGAAGATTTTGTTTCAGGAGCAGTTCAGAATCTGATAGACTCAGGTAGAGTAATTCAGTTACATGAAAAACCATATATGATCAATCCACTGAGCGTAGCAGAAAACCATGAAAAGAAAAGGCTTATTTTAGATCTTAGTTTCTTGAATAATTTCGTACGGAAAGAAAAAGTAAAATTTGAAGATTGGAAAATCGCTATACAATATTTCAAAATGAACTGTTTTATGACAAAATTTGATTTGCAGTCGGGATATCATCACATAGATATCGATCCTTGTTTTCAGCAATATTTAGGTTTTTCATGGAAGGGTAATTATTTTTGTTTCACTGTCTTACCATTTGGTCTAACTTCAGCTCCATATGTTTTTACAAAGTGTTTGAGGCCATTAGTAAATTATTGGAGAAAAAACAATTTAAAAGTAGTTCTATACCTGGATGACGGTCTTATTCTGGCTATGTCCGAGGCAAAATGTATTTCAGCTACAGGATTTATTAAACAGTCTTTAGTTTCAGCAGGTTTTTTCATAAACGAGAAGAAATCAATTTTCAGCCCTGTACAAGAAATTGAATGGCTTGGACTGGTATGGAGATCTTTAGATTTTAGTTTACGAGTACCAGAACGGAGAATAGTAGACTTAGAAAATTGTTTAGAAAGACTTTTGAATGCATTGCCTAATGTTTCTGCAAGAATTGTAGCACAGTTTACGTGAAAAATTATTTCAATGTTACCGGTTATGGGAAATGTTGTTAGACTTATGAGTCGTGCTTGCCACGTTGCTATAGAGAATAGGGTTTCTTGGGATAAAAAGTTAGATCATGTTATCTTAGATTCAATATTACCTGAAATGTATTTTTGGAAAAAGAACGTTAGATTTTGTAACTGCAAAAGCCTTCAGAATTATTCAAGAAAGCATGTCATGATTTTTTCAGACGCTAGTGATGTTGCTGGAGCAGCACATAGAGTAGAGTTGGATCAAAAGGTTTTTCACATTGGATGGAGCGAGTTTGAAAAAGAAAAGAGTTCTACATGGAGAGAATTAAAGGCTATAGAGCTTGGTTTATTATCGTTTCACAAAGTTCTTTGTGGAAAAACTGTGAAATGGTTTACTGATAATCAAAACTGTGTAAAAATCATTGAAAGTGGGAGTATGAAAAGTGATTTACAAGAAATTTCATTGGGCATTTTTCAGATTTGTCTGTCTAACGGTATTTCAATCGACGCTCAATGGATACCCAGAAATAAAAATTTCAGAGCAGATTATTTAAGCAAAATTATTGATTACGAAGACTGGGGGATAACAGATGAGTTTTTTGAATTTATGACCAGTATTTGGGGTCCATTTGACATTGACCGGTTTGCGAATTTTAAAAATACCAAGTTAGAACGATTCAATTCGTTATTTTGGAATCCTGGTACAGAGGGTGTAGACTGTTTTAGTTTTTCATGGGAAAGGAATAACAATTGGCTAGTACCCCCCATTTCATTGATTGGTAAATGCATTTTACATTTGATTGGAACTAAATCGAGAGGTACTATCATTGTTCCACATTGGCCCTCTTCTTATTTCTGGCCTTTGATTTTTGACGAGTATAATGAAACCATGCCCGTTGTAAAGGAGGTTTTAGAGTTTCGTGAAGGTTACAGAATTTTTAAACAAGGAGATAATAAGAATTCTATTTTTGGTTCTCTGGATTTTTATTCAGAAGTTTTGACAATCAGATTAGATGCAAGAATGTGAAATGGGACCTGATGTGCAAGGGCACATTGCAGAAGGTTTAACATATTATTGGTCCTGGTGCATGCGGTGCATTGCAGATGTTTTTATAAACGTATATATTGTATGATTAGTTGTCAAGAGAGATTTATTGGAAGATGCGTTAATCTTATGAGTGGTATCGGGTCCTGATATGCTAGAGGCATATTGCAGAAGTTTTATATGAATAACATTATATACGGAGGTCATGAATAATGAAATGTGTGTATATTTCGATCCATATACATGTAGGTAGTGATATTTTTTTTATAGATGTTTTCAATTATGCGTTTTACAGATATATTCCGCAAAGGAAGGTGGGCAGAAAACAGATCGTACGACAACCAAGAGCTGAATAGACTATCTGCCCTACTACCGGAGTACTGTCTAAAAGGAAAGGCAGAAAATACCAGAAAGAAATATAAGTATGCATTTAATAACAATTTGTGTAGTTCTCATTGTTCGAGTTTGTCATTTTTACCTTCAACCTTCAACTTTTACCTTCAACTGATATGACAGTTTCTATGTATTTGGTACACATTGGCCAGAATTTTTGCTCGTCAGCCAAACTAGAGGAAGCTGTAAGTGCTATTTCATGGGCTCATAATTTAGCAGGTTATTCAAATCCATGTCATTCCTCTTTAGTCACACAGGTCAAAGAAGGGGTGCTGAGAGAATGCAGGAAACCGATCACAAAAAAGGAACCTATTTTACCTCTTCATTTATTTCTTCTTGCAGAAAAGTATGGCAATGAAAACAGCTGTCTTCCAGATTTGCGAATCATTACAATTTGCCTTATAGAATATTCAGGTTTTCTTAGATTTTCGGAAATTGTTAACATCAGACGATCCGATATCTCATTCCAAGATCAGTATGTCTCCATATTCATTCCGAAAAGTAAAACAGACAAATATAATGAAGGTTCTCATGTTTGCATTGCAGAGACTTGTACCAAAACATGTCCTGTAAATTTTTTGAAAAGATATTTAGAATTAGCGGGAATAGAGAGTTCCTCAGATGAGTTTATTTTTAGACAAATTACATACTTGAAAAAAGCCGGTTCCTTTAAGTTAAGAAATACTAACAAACCACTGTCATATACTAGAGCAAGGGAAATTATTCTTTCTGCCTTGGGGGATATTGGTTTAGATAAGAAAAAGTTTGGATTACACAGTTTAAGGTCAGGAGGCGCTACAGCGGCAGCTGCTTCAGGAGTTAATGACAGAATTTTCAAAAAACATGGCAGGTGGAAAAGTGAAAAAGCAAAAGATGGTTATGTAAGGGAAACAAAGTCAGAAAAATTGAGCGTTTCAAAAAATCTGGGTATATAATTCAATTTTGCCCTATTGTAACTTAACTCTACTTTATTCTTTTCGAAATCTGAGCTCTTCGCCTCCTATTCTATAAATAATGCGTTGTTTTATATGGTAAATGAATTATGTTCGTTTGAGTGAAACGAATTAAGAACATAAATGTATTTATCATGGGTGCTAAGCATTATTTGTACCCGTGGGAAAGTAGGCGGGTTTGTTTTGATACGGGTGTTGGATTTATACAATGATTGGCTATTTATATAGTAACAAGTACGCATGAGTAGAGATGTTATTGAAGGGCGAATATTGTGTAAATGTGCCATTCGAAGGCTCAGATTCTAAATCAATTCCACGTTTTGGCATTATTCCCACCCACCCACCCATTATTACAATTTATAATTTATATTGACTGATTTGTTTAATGTATTGATGTTTAAATTTTTTTTTGTAGTTTGATGAATGTATATGGATGGAGGTATAAGGGTACATGATGGTACATGAGAATACATGATGGTACATGAGGGTACATGAGGATTGATAATGTATATTATAATGTGTGAATAAATCTGAGTGCTTCGCCTCCTATCCTATAAATAATGCGTTGTTTTATATGGTAAATGATTTATGTTCGTTTGAGTGAAACGAATTAAGAACATAAATGGAGGATTTCAATGTTTTGTAGTTGGATATGGAATTTATTTCACAAGTGGGACATGATATTTTGATATTTTTTGAGTGTGAAGCATGAGTAAAAAATTTTTTAAAAATCCTGTTTTACTAGTGATTGTGAGATTGAAAACTTGTAAACATATTTCAGCAACATATTTGGAGAAACTTCGGCAGTTTTAATTTCTGTGTCAGGATGCTTTATTTACTTTCAGACTGTATTATAACAGTCCAGAGAGTACATGTATTTTTTTTAACAGCACCCATCATGAAGGGAAGAAAGTTGAGAGTTTTGCAGCACTTCTGATATTCTTTCACACTGTGACAAAATATCTCTTTTATTCAATTACAGTATTTCGATGTTAAAAATGTAATAAATGTTCATATGTGGCACACGTTTCCTAAATATCATTTAAAAGTTTTAGCTTTTTTTTTTGAAAAACACGATTAGGTGATCAAAATCAATCTTGACATTTGAATGAAGTGATGTGAAACAGCATCATATATACATATTGATATTAAGGAAATTGATTAGAAAAGCAATGAAGTCAAGCAATTAAAAGTGGTATCAAATTGATTTTGACTATGGGTTCTTGATGAAATATCTTTTTCGGCTTGAAATAGGTTATACAGAAATTGATAGAGGATGGCATTCCAGTCTCCCAAAAAGAGCTATTTCAGACAGGGGGGGACCATTCAGAACTGTTGTTTATTGTGAATGAATGTGTCCGAGTTCAAACATATAATCTCCACCCTTCCATCAACAGGTATTATTGTTACTAAGGCATGGATTGGTTGATTTTTGTCATCAAGGCAAGGATTAGCTAATCCTGATTGCCAATGCAGGGATTGGCTATGGGACTTCAAATTCTCATTTTAAGCTCACCTCGACAGTCAAAATGAACTTACGCTATACCCCCCGTTGTCAAGGTTAAAGTTTTTGGAGCAAGTCCATTCCTAAATAGGTTAACTATGATTCCTATGTTGACCAAATGTGAATGGATGATGCACTTAGAGTTGCACATTACCAGACATACTTTGGATGCTAGATCTGAGCTAGATTTTCTAGATAAATTACCAGGTTAAAGTTTTCAAGCAAGTCCATTCCAAGTAACTATAAGCCCTACATGGACTAGTCTAAACTTTAATGAATGATGCATCTAGGGATGTACACTATTAGACATGCTTTGGATGCTGGATCTGACCTAGAATTTCCTGATGAGTGACCAGGTTAAATGTTTTGGAGCAAGTACATTTCCAAGTAACTGCAAGTCTTACCTGGACCAAACTTGCATGGAAGATGCATCTGTGGATGTACACTACCGGATTTATTTCAGATGCTGTATCTGACGTAGATTTACTACATGTATATGAGTGACGAGGTTAAAGTTTTTAGAGCAGGTCCATTCCCAAGTAACTACAAGCCCTATGCTGACCATACTTGACAGGATGATGCATCTAGGGATACACATTGCCAGACATGCTTGGGATCAGATGCTGGATTTGATCTACATTTTCCAGATGAGTGACCAGATTTAATTATTTGCAGTAATTTCTTTTTCAAGTAACTATAAGCCCTAACTGGACAAAACTTGCATGGATGATCCATTAAGAGATTCACACTTCCAGACATCCTTTAGATACTGAGTCTGACCATCATAAAATTAGCTATAACCCCTATGTTGACAAAACTTGAATTGATGATTCATATGGAAAAGCACACTAGCAGACATGCTTCAGATGCTTTATTTAACCTTGATTTTCCAGATGAGTGACCAGGTTGAAGTTTTTTTTGGAACAGGTCCATTCCCAAATAACTGTAAGTTCCATCTAGACCAAACTTGCATGAATGATTCATCTAACAATATACATTACCAGAACTTTTATTGACGTGAGACTTTGCTTCACTCCTTGATAATATTGGTCGAGATGAGCTTCATAAGTTTTGATTACCTATGTTTCTATTTTTCCCCTCTAAATTTATGAACAAAAGGTACTGTTGTTTGCAGATTTATTGCATGACAGATCTAGGTATATTTAAAATGACTAAAAAAAATTGCATGACTGACATATTTCTGGGGAAAAAATTGTAAATGTGGTACTCCACATTCACCAAGATGGACATCACAATCAGTGAGCTTTGTGCCTGTGTTGGAAGGGTATTTAAGTAAAGAAAATTAATTTCTGAATGAAAACTAACAAATGGTTTTGCATGTAACTAATATTTTTAAGATAGAGTTCATTGATGACTTTTGCAGGTTGAATAAACCAATGAAATGTTATTATTGCTTGTAAAATTATTTTTATTAGTTTTCCAACTGTTTCTTTAATAAAATCAAACTAAAGAAGATAAAACTTATTGTAGGTTTTAGATGAGAAGATAACATATGCAAAATACGAAGTTCAACTCTCCGAAATAGAAAAGTCTGGTGGTGTATTATCCAACCTTGTCTTATTCCTTAAGAAGTGATAGTGTCTACTATTACTTCTCGAGATGTCACCATGTATTCAGAAATCAACTTCATGTGAGAAAATGGCTGTATTTCTAAAAAAATGTGTTGTAGCATTTATATACTTATGTTACATGTTAGATGTGCTTTAATTAACAGTATTTGCTTAAATATAGACATGACATGTTTTTCCTTCATATGATAGCCTGTTCTTGACATTGATAGGATTTTCGATTTTTGCAGTTGCACAGAATTTTTCAGAGCTTTTTGCTTGCCATCTGAGATGAAAATAATATACAGAGCTTGTGTTACTTATATGTATTTTTGTAGGGATTTTGCAAAGCAATTGTTTAATATGCTGTAGACCAGTTAAATTGTGTTCATAATTCTCATTAAAGTTTTTGTTGAATTATTCAAAGGAAAAAGTTTAAATATTGTGGTTACACTGTACATGTGTTAATTTTGACAAATGTCATTTAACCCTGTCAAATCGTATTGCTCAGTTGTCCATCAAGATAGCAATCAAATGGCACTATGATTGTGTGATAACATTCTTGTAAGTTTTTTGTGTTTAAATTATCTTTGTTAGGTTGTGATAACTCGGATATCAGGTAAATCGTTGTACACATTCCTTTGGACACTTTTTAAGTGTGTGATAATTCTGATATCAGTTAAATCATTGTATACATTCCTGGACACTTTTTAAGTTTGTGATAAATCATGGAGTTGTGAAACAAAAACATTTACTTTTTTTTTTTTTGTGCACAGTCAGGGATCTGAAGTTTTCTAATATTCTTTATAATATTGTTACATTGTGTTAAGACACTTTTCATGTACCTTAATATATAAATATACCATGGAGCAATGAACCAGATAGATTTTTTGTCGGATATCACTTTAATATTGTTGCTTTTTATATATGTGTTTGTTGGTTCTAGACTACTTGTATATAAAACTTTATGCATAAATAAATAATCATGTTCAGAAAATCTTAGATTTATATATGTATGATTTAACACAAAATATTGTATAAATTTATTTTTTATTCAAATAAATTAAGATCAACAACTGTTCTAAGTTAATTTTTTCCATAAAGAATTAGAAAGGAATATAATAATTTAACATTTATTTATGAAGACTAAAAAAGTCACCCGCGTGGCGCAGTGGTTAGAGCGTCTGCTCTAGAGTCCCAGAGTAAGGAGTTGATCCTTACGTCGCGGGTTTGAATCCCACTCTGGGACGTGGAGACCGGTCCTTCGGATGAGACCATATAAACCAAGGTCCTGTGTCGCAGTAGGTGCTGGCACGAAAAAGATCCCCCACTGCTCAATGGCCGTAAGTGCCGAGTATAAGATAAAATTTGCAGCTCTCCACAAGCAAGTGGTGGCGTCTCCATATGAGTGAAAAATTCTCGAGATTGACGTTAAAACAACATACAAAAAAAAAAGAAAAAAAAAAAAAAACGAAGACTAAAAAATATATCCAGCAATATATACCTGTATGGGGAAAAAATCGTTTCTGATGCATGCATTATAAGATATATAAACTTTGAAACTTGAATTAAACTGCAAAATTGATCATCTTTTAAAACGTAAAATAAGTGCTGAATAGTTCAAACTGTTAATTTCTGTAAGAATGACCTCCTCCTTACTGACAGGAAATTTTTCCTCTAGCGTTGACAATATTCCACCCTTTGGGTGGGATAAAAAATGAATTTCAAGCAAAAGTTTACAGTGTGTGGCAATTTTTAAAACGACTGTGTTTAAAGATAAACATTTTACAAAAGAAAGTTTCATCAATTTTAGAGTTATCTCTCCTACCGGGGGGTCACCTCCTCCTTAAGTTATTTGCAGTCACTCAGTAAAGTGAATCAACTCGCAAATCCAGAGTAAAAACATTTTGTTGCTAGTAAACTGAAGACAACTGGTAAAGATGATTTCTCTTTTGGAATTCCATCTCATTCTCGTTTGTCATACAATTTAGTTGACAGTCAGCGCTTATCGTCTATAGTCAGTAAAACATCCAAATATGAAACAGGTGTGGCTTTTATTTAGAATTCACTGAGATATATCAAGTCGACATATAAATGGAAGTACATTGATAAAACATCGTCTATATATCCGAATGTCGAGTTGAAGGCTATAGCAAGTGTATGTTTTTTTCTTCTCGTGTAGAAGTTTTCAAATAAATTTTGCTTCATAGGAATATAAAAAAAACAGGTCGGCTAATAAGGGAACAAAATTAGTGCCCATCGGAATTCCAACATTTGTTGGAAGACCTGGTCTCCAAAGACCACACAGATTTTGTCAGTGAGGAACCCCGTCATCCTTTTAATAATTTATCAGGCTCCGTGTCAAGTTTCAATGATACTAAGACGGTTATGCATGTACATGTTTATTTTATGCATTAATACATTTGTTTTAAATTTCATTAAAAAAAAATCCAGATCATTCATGTACTGTTAAACAATGTTCATGAATT